TCCTCCTCCTACTTCCTCCTCCTTCTACTTCCTCCTCCTTCTACTTCCTCCTCCTTCTACTTCCTCCTCCTTCTACTTCCTCCTCCTTCTACTTCCTTCTTCTTCTACTTCCTTCTTCTACTTCCTTCTTCTACTTCCTCCTTCTTCTACTTCCTCCTCCTTCTTCTTTCTTTTTCTTATTATATACTCCACATATCCAAAACATTGCTGGAACTTATAAATATTTTTTATTATCACACTGGCTGATTCCCACCAAGGCAGGGTGGCCCGAAAAAGAAAAACTTTCACCATCATTCACTCCATCACTGTCTTGCCAGAAGGGTGCTTTACACTACAGTTTTTAAACTGCAACATTAACACCCCTCCTTCAGAGTGCAGGCACTGTACTTCCCATCTCCAGGACTCAAGTCCGGCCTGCCGGTTTCCCTGAATCCCTTCATAAATGTTACTTTGCTCACACCCCAACAGCACGTCAAGTATTAAAAACCATTTGTCTCCATTCACTCCTATCAAACACGCTCACGCATGCCTGCTGGAAGTCCAAGCCCCTCGCACACAAAACCTCCTTTACCCCCTCCCTCCAACCTTTCCTAGGCCGACCCCTACCCCGCCTTCCTTCCACTACAGACTGATACACTCTTGAAGTCATTCTGTTTCGCTCCATTCCCTCTACATGTCCGAACCACCTCAACAACCCTTCCTCAGCCCTCTGGACAACAGTTTTGGTAATCCCGCACCTCCTCCTAACTTCCAAACTACGAATTCTCTGCATTATATTCACACCACACATTGCCCTCAGACATGACATCTCCACTGCCTCCAGCCTTCTCCTCGCTGCAACATTCATCACCTGTGCTTCACACCCATATAAGAGCGTTGGTAAAACTATACTCTCATACATTCCCCTCTTTGCCTCCAAGGACAAAGTTCTTTGTCTCCACAGACTCCTAAGTGCACCACTCACTCTTTTTCCCTCATCAATTCTATGATTCACCTCATCTTTCATAGACCCATCCGCTGACACGTCCACTCCCAAATATCTGAATACGTTCACCTCCTCCATACTCTCTCCCTCCAATCTTATAAATACTTTGTATATATTCCTAGACAATAGTAAATGGCCAAGGCAGGTGTAAATGTCCAGCTGTCACTGTGTTTGTGACAATCAGAGTACAATTTCAGTACCTAATATTAGTGTCAGAACAAAGATTGGTTATGAAATGACAAGAACTACTATAAATTGTAATTATCAGAACATAAAAATTATAAAAAATATTTTAAAAACGAGAAAAAAGGTACATCAGCAATACTTCTAATTGCCAACTTTGCAGCCTCATATCTCGGTAAGTATTGATCCTAATTTTTTCATTTTAATCCTATAACACTTAGAAAAATCCTAGGTAGTAGGTTGGTAAACAGCAACCGCCCAGGGAGGTACTACCGTCCTGCCAAGTGAGAGTACAACGAAAACCTGTAATTGTTTTACATGATGGTAGGATTGCTGGCGTCTTTTGTCTGTCTCATAAACATGCAAGATTTCAGGTATGTCTTGCTACTTCTACTTACACTTAGGTCACACTACACATACATGTACAAGCATATATATACATGCCCCTCTGGGTATTCTTCTATTTTCTTTCTAGTTCTTGTTCTTGTTTATTTCCTCTTATCTCCATGGGGAAGTGGAACAGAATTCTTCCTCCGTAAGCCATGCGTGTTGTAAGAGGTGACTAAAATGCCGGGAGCAAGGGGCTAATAACCCCTTCTCCCATATAAATTACTAAATTTAAGAGAGAAACTTTCATTTTTCTTTTTGGGCCACCCTGCCTTGGTGGGATACAGCCGGTGTGTTGAAAGAAAGAAAGAACACTTAGAAAAATGTTCTCTATTTCTATGAATTTTTTTTTTTTTTTTTTTCAAAATATTTGGGGCACTGGGCGAGAGAAGTATATATACTATATACGTTTGGGCCATTTACAGGTTAATATCTAGATGGAGTGCATCCTTAATGACTGTGAGAGTGCAGCCATAAAGACCTACATTAATATACAGTACTAAACTACAGTAATGTACCCATTTCTAGTATACACAATTAACATTAAGTAGCATTACATTACATTAAGTATGTACAGTAGCATTATCTCATATACATGTACAAAGTACAATGTATACTGTGGCAGTCTACTTGTAATATGCATTTGTTAAATATGAAGGGTTCACTTAACTTATACTTACCTGTAGTTTATATTTGCTGTAAGATCATCTCAAGAAAACTGTATCCAACATGAGGGACAAATACATTATTTAAGTTATATAAACAAACCTGACTGACAGAGCGCGTGCGGTTATGATGCGAGGGAGAGTGTGTGGACGATGATGATGAAGAGTTGAGCGAAGAGATAGAGCACATGGACGACTTCCGAGACCCTAGTGAAGATGGTGATGATGGCGGAGTCTGCCAGGACCACTGAGTCTCGCCAGCCTTTATGTCCAATAGCACCTGCAACAAGCTTATGCAACTAAAACAGATGAACAACAATTTGATTTGCCTGGTCTAAAACATATTAGAACTGATTAGTTATTCGAAAGCCATTAACAAAACTGATCACACTTCATATTACTGAGATACTGTTTAGTATATTGTACTTGTTGCACCCTTACTTTCAAAAGAGGTACTTTGTACCACCTGCTAAGTCTCTTGCTCCTGTAGGGAGTAATTTCTGTTTAGATTTGAAACCAATAACTCCAGTATTTACCAGGTATAAATTATGATGCATCTTTCTCCCCTGCATTCCATTCCAGGGAGTACAGCCTAAGGGAGTTTAGGTGTTCCCCAAAAATTAAATGTTTGAATTTATACAGGCAATGAAAGTTGTGTGTAGATTCTCCAGATATGATTTATACTGGGCTGCTAGTGTGAAGCAATTTCCAGTCTAAAGAGTATGAAAAGCATATGAAGTAAGTCAAAGTTATTTGTATATTATTCCATCCACACACATGGATGGAACAATACACAAACAACCCACACTTAGGAGACTGAAATTTATGACGACATTTTGATCTTTTTCCTTTCTGGATGAATTTTATTCCCAAATACTTGGTGTTGCTATGGGCTTTCCTCTGTCCCCTGTTCTTGCTAACTTTTATATGGGATATTTCAAAACTGTTCTACTTCTTGCTACTGGGGTGCGCCCTTCTCCCTGGCTTTGTTATGTACATGATGTCTTAGCTTTTTGGACACAACTCAGACTCTTCTATCAAGTTTAAAGCTGCATGGGAATCTAACTCGGTTTCCTTTTCTGTCACTCAGTGATAGGCTTTTCTTTTTTCTGCTTATTGCAAGCCAATGCACAGTGGCATGTACATTCACTACTTTTTTTTACCATGACAAAAATTTCCAATTTTTGCAGCTTGTTCTCTTGCTTTGGATACCTTTCCAATTTCATAAACTCTGCTCACTCAATAGACTTTCCTCTCTCCTAAACTCTCCTCGTACGTGAAATCTCCTGTTCTTTGCCTTCCCTATACTTCCAGTCTCCTAAATCTTAACAACACCTCTGTCCTTTAGATATCAAACTTACTTGTCACCAAACTAATACCCTTTGTAGTAATCTAGTTCATACCTCTTCTGCCACTGATGTTTCCAGTGTCTACTCAGTTTCCTGCTACTCATCCTCTCCATTACTTTGACGAAACTGGCCAGTCACTTTCTGACAGATTTAAAGAGCACAAAAGAAGTGAGAACACTAATAATGATCTTTTCTGTCATGTTAGAGATCACAGTCATCCTATTAACTGTCTACCCATCTTCTAGCCTTCACAGATGCAGTCTTGTTGAAGCATCCATTATACCTAACATTCCTAACATGAACCTTAGTCCTGCTTTTGTCTCTATAGATACCCTCTTTTCTCAGTGATGTCAAATGCCCTAACTTCCGAAAACTCACGACTGGATCTGACCTTTGTCTCCTCTCCGTACCTCTTAACCTTGCCTAAATTTTCATTGCCTCTCCTGTCTTCTGCCTATGTAGGTTCTGTGCTATGTAAGTTTGGTCCCACAGGATTTTGCCTTACCCCCATGGGCCAGTAGCTCTCCTGCAGTGCTCCTCTGTTCTCTTGTCCTTATAAACTACCCCCACTATTACTGCTACTACTATCTCTTCATTAATACAGTGGACCCCCGATTATTGGCCGGTTTGGTTATTGGCCAACTCGGTTATCAGAGGGTTTCTCGGTGCCCAGTTATCAACCGTTTGCTTGGTTATCGGCGGTTTGGGACACGTCCATCCACCAGCTGGGGTAGCTTGCACTTCAGTTTGGTTTTGTCTCTCAGTGGCTGAGGAAGCTTCTGCTCATACATCCAAACATTTCACTTGTTTACCATTGTTTCTAGTGGTTTTTCTTGCAGTGCAACTGTGAAATAAGTAACCATGGCTCCAAAGAAAGTTCCTAGTAAAGTTCCTGTGGTAAAGAAATTGAGAAACACCATGGAATTTAAGCATGAAGTGATTGAAAAGTTTCAGAGTGGTATGAAGGTGATGGAACTTGCCAGGATGTACAGCAAGAATAATCAACAATTACATCCATCCTGGCAAAGAAAGAACAAATCAAAGATGCTAATGTTGCAAAAGAAGTAGCTTTTCTAACTAAACAAAGGACACTGATAATGGAAAAGATGGAAAAGTTATTATTATTGTGGATTAAGGAAAAAGAATTAGTGGGAGACAGTGTAGTGGAGTCTACTATTTGTGAGAAGGCAAAGCAGTTGCATGAGGATCTTGCAAAGAAAATGCCTGGAACAAGTTGCTGCAGTTTGTGAATTTAGGGCCAGCAAAGGATGGTTTGATAGATTTAAGAAGTGTAGTGGCATACACAAAGTTGTAAGGAATGGTAAGGCTGCAAGTTCTGAGAAATGTGCATTGAACAGCATGTTCACGAATTCCAGGGCTATGTTAAGGCTGAAGGATTCGACCCCCAACAAGTTTTCAATTGTGACGAAACAGGCCTGTTTCGGAAGAAAATGCCAAAAAGGACCTACATTACCCAGGAGGAAAAGGCACTGCCAGGACACAAGCCTATGAAAAACAGACTGACTCTGCACATCCTCCAGACTTGGAAGACTAAGTATTTAGGGACTTCAATTTTATAAAAGTTAAGTTCTTGCCTCCTAACACCACACCTCTCCTCCAGCCCATAGACCAGCAGGTCATTTCTAACTTCAAAAAACTCTACACAAAAGCAGTGTTTCAAAAGTGCTTTGAAGTGACCTCGGACACTCGGTTGACCCTAAGACAGTTCTGGAGGAATCACTTCACTATCCTCCATTGCATAAGCCTTATAGGTAAGGCTTGGGAGGGAGTGACTTCTAGGACTTTGAACTCTGCTTGGAGAAAACTGTGGTCAGATTGTGTCCAAGAGAGGGATTTTGAAGGGTTTGAGACTCGCCGTGACCCTGACCCTGCCGACCCTGTGGACTCTATTGTGTCTTTGGGGAAGTCCCTGGGGTTGGAGGTGAGTGGTGAGGATGTGGAAGAGTTGGTGGAGGACCACAGGGAGGAGCTTACCACTGAAGAGCTGCAAGAGCTTTAACTTGAACAGCAAGACTGCAGCTGAGGAACTTGCTTCAGAGGAGGAGGAAGAGGGAGTGAAGGAGGTGCCTTCTTCAGAGATTAAAGAGGTGTGTGCAATGTGGACTAGGGTGCAAGCTTTTGTAGAGAAACACCACCCTGACAAAGCTGAAACAAGCCATATCTGCAACATGTTTAGTGACAAAACCCTGTCCCACTTCAGGTAAATCTTAAAGAGACGCCAGAAACAGAGCACTCTGGACCATTATTTTGTGAGACAGGGGTCCAGTGACTCTCAAGCTGGTTCTAGTGGCATTAAAAGACAGAGAAGGGAAGTAACCCCAGAGAAGGCATTACTACCTAAAGTCTTCATGGAGGGGGATTTCCCTTCCAAATACTAACTCCTCCCTCTTTCCTCCTCCCTATCTTCCAGAAGCCAGCATTAGCCTTCAATAAAGGTATGTAATACTTACATAATTGTAAAAAAAATTATTTTTTATTTGTGAATATTTTTGCTGGGGATGAATTAATTTTATTTTCAATAATTCTTATGGGAAATATTAATTCGGTTACCTGCCACTTCGGTTATCAGCCGACCTTCAGGAACGGGTTGCGGCAGATAACCGAGGGTCCACTGTACTACACTCTGCCATTATTTTTCCTGGTTTTCCACTACTACTTGTACCTTTTAATTTCTACCTCTAACACTGCTGCACTTCTACTTGTACCTTTTAATTTCTACCTCTAACACTGCTGCACTTCTACTTGTACCTTTTAATTTCTACCTCTAACACTGCTGCACTTCTACTTGTACCTTTTAATTTCTACCTCTAACACTGCTGCACTTCTACTTGTACCTTTTAATTTCTACCTCTAACACTGCTGCACTTCTACTTGTACCTTTTAATTTCTACCTCTAACACTGCTGCACTACTACTTTTACCTTTTAATTTCTACCTCTAACACTGCTGCACTACTACTTTTACCTTTTAATTTCTACCTCTAACACTGCTGCACTTCTACTTTTACCTTTTAATTTCTACCTCTAACACTGCTGCACTACTACTTTTCATCTTCATCTTCTACTTCTACTAATATTGTACTAATACCAGTATTAATATTAATACAACTATTACTGTACTTTTTTTTCAACAAACTGGCCATAAAAAGAAAAACTAAAGTTGTTGTTCTTTCAACGAACCGGCCGTATCCCACCGAGGCAGGGCGACCCACCGAGGCAGGTCAAATGGGTGAGTGCAAGTGTTAACCACCAGGTGGTATTCATATAATTAGTTGACAGGGTGTATCAGGGAGATAAGATGTTTTCTGATGGTAGTTTTGAAGGTGATGAATGTGTCTGCAGTTCTAGAGTTTTCAGGTAGGGTGTTCCAGATTTTAGGGCCTTTGACATACATTGAATTTTTGTAAAGGTTTAGTCGGACACGGGGAATGTCATAGAGATGTTTGTGTCTGGTGTTATGCCTGTGGATCCTGTCACAACTAACAAGAAAGCATTTTAGGTAAAGGGTTTTAATATTGGAACTTAAAGCCTTAGATGTAATTGCACATAGTAAGGGTTGGTGTACTGAACAGGGAGAATTTTGATCTATGAAAAAAGGGGGGGGGGTGTTGCCGGGGATGGATTTAGTGATTATTCTTCGTGGCTTTTTGTTGGGTTATTATTGGCTTTATTGTGTTCTGCAGTTGAACCCCAAGCACAGATAGCAAGGGAGGAAATGGATACATAATGATGGTGATGGAGAAGGGCATTTCGGCACGTAGACGATTTTGGGAGAGGACCCCCAACCTTTTTTGGATACTTTTTTGGTTTGTTTGGATAGGGTGCAAAATTTCAGGTTTTTTGTAAAGGTAAAGGCCGGGAAATTTTGCCCCTTTATGTCTGGAAATTAAAATTTTTGCCCTTTTAATGTTA